TTCAAAGAGACTTTAACACCAGATTACAGAGGGAAACTTCAGAACTTTCTTTCATCCTTAAATTTGACACTTTACAAATGGGCCTTAATAAAGATGCTAATTACCTTACCCATTACAAAGATAGCTTCCCACTTATCACCCTTGATTAGCCATTCATTGACTCAAATAGCTATTCCCTCCCTCCTCTACCCACCCTACCTTCTGTACTAAATCTGATTTGTCAGTTTAATAATGTGTTCACTTTTTTCATTGTATTCCTTTGGTATATATGGTCATGCCAATTCTCTTCCAGAATATGATCTGAGGAAGTGGGTCTGGCCCACGAAAGCTCATCACCTATTAAACCATCTTGTTAGTCTTTAAAGTGCTGCATAGTTTTTCCTTTTCTAAAAGGTGTAAGCTCTCTTGTGCAAGAGGGCAGTGTGGATGCTAAAATGGCCATCGGAGCTTTCTTGCGCAAGACAGTGTCCACACTGCCATGGATGCTCTTGCGCAAAAGCACAGCTCGCACTTGGCAGTGTGGACGTGTTCTTGCGCAAGACTTCTTGCACAAGAACCCTTGCGCAAGAAGCCTCCAGTGTAGACATAGCCTAAGAGTTTCCTCCCATGAGCAGAATGAATTGTGTTATCTATACTTAAACTGACCTCACTGAAGTGAATTGGCATTCTGACAACATGAATACTTAAGATACGCAGTGATTGTGAGAGCAGCTGAGGAGTTGTTCTATTGAACTTTGTTAACTTGAGCTATGACCTAGATTTAATTAAAAGCACCAACACATTCAAAAGGTAAGCATTTTTGCATGTGACCGGGACATGAACTTGGGGCAATACTTGAGTTCACTCTGAAGTGAAGACAAGCCTACATATTTAAAAATATTTATCAACGCTATTTAGGAATAGCTTTCTCCTGTATTTTATGAACAAAAAGTGTGCACTACAAATCTAGATAGACTATGTGATTTAGATTTTTCTGAGCCTGACAATGGAACACTTAAAAATACTACACAGGATTTCAGTTTTATACTTTAAATATCTGCTTCTCCAAAAAGTGATTATCACCAAACATCAACATTTTAAAAAATTGTACTTACTTGTATTTTAAGAGCAGCCACTGAATTAACCAGAGTCCTACAAGGATCATGCCATTAATTTCACAAATAGAAAAGGCCCATTGCACTCTGTTAAAATGGTCAAAAAATGCATCTGGTAGAGGAGGCTGCATCTCCTTGGGAGGCACTCGTTCGTGGACGACTGAAATCGTCACTGTGGTAAAGATAAAACAGCAAAGTGCATAAAGAAAAGCCAGGAAAGTCTTCCCCCACTCCATAGGATACTGGGTACGTTCTGGCTCTGGCATGGGGATCTTTATCATCTCCTTCTTATATCCATTTGGCATTCCATTTAGTTTGAAAGTGCTGAAATGATTTTCACTTGTGGTGACATCCGTACTGATGCTGAGGTGCCCATTGGCATGCCCATTTTTGTGCGCTTCAATGTGATGCTCCATTTTTAAAGTTTCAAGCATGTCCAACAACCTCTGCCCATTGTCAGAAGACACGCGTGATAAAGGTGGCTTCTTAAAATCCTCCTTAGTTAGATTGATCAAATCCTGCCCAGTGAAACATCCCAGTGGTTCACAGTATTCTGGCACAGCATTCTCCATCAACCAATTTGCCACCTCTATAGGTGACCATAATGCCACTTCTTTCATTTCGTCAGGCAAATGCATGCAGTCTTAAGTTTACTTTAAACGAGGCAGCAGTCACTATTTCTCCAGTACAACAAAAAGCCTCTCTTTGGCTTGTTCATCCTCTCAGATGTACATCAAAAACTAGATTGGCAAGCTGACAAGTACAAGTTTCCAAACACTGTGCAAATAACAATACGTTGTAGCCAGGCCAGGAAATGGTTCACTTTTTTTGCATTTATACTCTTCTTTCTGTTGAGGAAAAAAAGGGCGGTTAAGACAGTGTTTACCAGTAAGTTTGCATTTTATGTTCATGGGGGAAAAAAATTAAAAATTAATCCAAAGAAGCAATACATACATTGGAGCATGAAGTAACAGCAGCTTTTAAAACTCAGACAAATGCAAATGATTTTACTTTTTAGGTTTGTTCTGAATACTCAAGATTTGCATTTGAGCCTATGTATGTGTTACTTTAACAACTAATGTAAGTTGTCTGGGACAACCTCTTTTTGTTCGATGTTTGTACAGCCCCTGACACAGTGGGGTCCTGGTCCATGATTAGGGATCCTCAAGTTAGGCAACAGAAATAATAAAATCATTACATGTTCATCCATCAACCGTGTGATCTTATTAATGTAGCTCCTATCCTCTCCCCTGCTGCTGCCTTTGATACAGAGGCAGCTGCACGGGATGGCAGGGGGCTTCCCGAGAGTGGGGTCAGAAACACACTGGCTGCTGGCCCCACCCTTTGGGACTATAGAATAGTTGACTAACTGCTAAGAATTCATACGGTTACTCAACTATTCTATTACCTAGTATTTAACATCCCTAGTCTGGGAAGGAATGTAAGCGCAGGAGGGAGCTCTGGGTTAGTTACAGTGTTGGGATAGAGCAGAAGGTGGGGAGTATGGGCTCTGGGAGAGAGTTCAGTTTCAGGAGGGGGTTCTGACCTGGGGCAGAGGGTTGAGATGCAGGCTCTGGCAAGGAGGTACTTACTAAAAGCGGGTCCCAGCCTGTGGCACAGTGGAGCGCTCAGGCAGGCTGCTCGCATTCTGTGGCTCCACACTGCTCCCAAATACTTCCATGTCTGCAGCAGGGGGCACGGAGGGCAGTGGGTTGCTGTGTGCTGTCTGTGCCCGCAAGCACAGGCCCCACAGATCCTATTTACTAGTTTCCAGCCAATGGGAGCTGTGAGGACAATGCTTCGGGGAAAAGAGAGGGACACTGCATGGAGACCCGCTGTCCCCCTCAAGGGGCATGCAGAGACATGGCACCAGCAGCCATCTGCTTTTGGGAGCAGCATGGAGCCATGCTGTTGCTGAGCACGTTTCTGCACTGCAGGATGGGGAGACATGTTAGGTGTGTCAGATCCAGCCTACACTCTGGATTTGCCTACCTCTGTCCTACATGCTATAGTAATAGAAATATTAACAAATAATACCATTACCATTCTGCTACCCCAGGCAGTAATATACAAATAGGCCTACAAAGCAACATAAGCTCACCTAAAGAAACCAAGTTAAAGCATATAATGCTAATGTTTGTGTTAATATCAGTGAGAGAAATCTAAGCCCACAGGGCATATTTCAAAATTGCTGTTGGGAGTGTACCCTGGATGATTAGCAGTTGATTTGCTTCTAGATGGCTGTGGGATGGCCTCTCAGGCAGATGGATTACATAACATACAGCTTTAAAACATTACAATAAAAGTTGAAGTTGGCTTACAAGACTGCAGACACCACTATATTTTGAGTATGAGACTCTTCAGCAACTGTGCTGTTGTATTTTGAGACAGTTGCATCCTCTGAGTTAGTGGTGGGCAATCTGCAGCCCGAAGGCCATATGTGTCCCATAGGGATTCTATATGTGGTCCGTGAGACATTTTGTTTACCGCTGCCTATGCATAGGATTGCCATATTTTGCTGGTTTCCATGTGCATAACTTTTTTCCTACTGGTGTTACTAAAAGGGTGTATCTAGACTACAAGGTTTTATTGACAAAAGTGGACTTCTGTTGACAAAACTATACCTGCGTCTACACTGCCGCCGAGTTCCGTTGACAGTAAGTCGACAGAACGCGGCAGTTTTGTCGATGGTGGTAAACCTCATTTTATGAGGAATAACGCCTTTTGTTGACAGAGTTCTGTCAACAAAAGGCACTATTGCATCCCCACTGTGCTTTTTCAAAAGAACGCGTCTAGATTCTTTGTCGAAAAAGTGGCTTGCTTTGTCAACAGAAATGTCTGTAGTCTACAGAGGTTTTGTCGACAGAGGTTTTGTCGACAGTATCTGTCGACAAAACCTTTGTCGACAAAAGCCTGTAGTCTAGACGTACCCAAAGTGACACACATGTAAACAAGGGTATGTGAATGTTAGGCCCTAGAGAATTGGGCCTAGTGCAGTTATGTTAAGACAGATCAAGGAAAGAGGTTAACAAAGGTTTCTGGGCAGTTCCTGAACAGAACAGAACTAGAAATATGGCTCAAGCAAGGGGCAATCCCTACGTACTTGCTTAAGTTGCAAAATAAAGTAAGTGAAAGGCTGAGCCTGTGATGAGAACAGCTAGTTTGAGAACTGATAAGGTAACTCCCTGTTTCTGTTCTCACCCTGATCTTAACGAACTGTCTCTGCCCTCTGTTTGTTTTAACTCCCTGTCTCCTTGTTGTTTGGTACTTGCCTTCTAGGCTGATAAGACAGCTATTGACGCATTATGAATTGCTTAAGGCCATGAAGTATACGCATTAACACTAGAAGCTTCAAATTAATTAAGGGGGGGCTGAGATGCTTAGGCAAATGTTTTATGACGCGACGGAACTGTCTATATAATCTTACTTGTTACTGAAGTCAGAGCTGGTTCACTTAGGAGATGGGCCGCTCTCTATTGTAGTGCGCACTATTCAATAAAGAGCTTGTGATTGGATCTTGCTGGTGTTGCCTGTCTCTTTGCGGTCAGACAACGAACGGAGGCCGTCCGGGTTAAAGTCCCTGACATGAAGTAAGGTGTGTGCTGATTGCATGCGACATTGACTGCGAGAGTTGTGCATTCCCACTGCATCCAATCAAAATTCTACTACATTTCAATCTGCACACCTTGCAAATTCTAGGTATGCAAGTACAGTTAGCAAAATTACTCTGTCCCAGGAGACTGTCTTGGTAACCACAACCTTGCAACCCACTGACTAGCCTAGGCTGCCCATCACTATTCTGTGTAGAGTCAAAGCAGAGGTGCTGGAACTAGGGTGCAGCAGCATCCCCAACGTTAAGTGGTTTCTAGATTTCCTTCATATACAAGGCTTACAGTTTTATTCAATGACATTCAGAACCCCCACTATTAATACTGTTCCAACACTAATGATTCAAAGGCTAACCCCCATGTGGAACACATTGTAGTAGTCAGACTAGAGGTAATAAAGGTCCGAATTATAGTGACAAAGTTCACATTCAGAACAGAAGACTGCAATGAAGATAAAAAATATTCTCAAATTATTGAACCTATTTACATGTTCACCTTTGGAAAGAAAAGTCTATTACAGTATCACCTTAATAACTGATCAGCACTTTTTCATATTCCTGGTAGGAACAAAAACATTTTCTGAAGTATTAATAGAAATCCATCTACAGAATTCACTTATACCCTATGCAGTGAAATGGTAACACAAACAGAATCACACAGAGGTAAGTGACATAGGTTGAGAAGAGCTGAGTTACAGCTACAGTGATACCTTAGTTATGTCAGTTGGATAGTAGCTCAACCAATTATCTTCAGGTGACATTTGGGATACACAATAATAATAAAGTTTGTATACATGACTTTTTCTCCTCTTCTGCCTGCTTCTCTGAAGTAGTTATGGAGACAGTAACAAACATTATCGTGCTAGGCTTTCACCTGACTCACAATTGTATTAACCAAAGAGTTGCTATGCATGCCTTTGTTATGTTGCTATGGAGATACTACTTTATCTGGTTCACAATTTACTAATATATGCTGGGCTAGCAAAAAAGAAGAAAAAAATCCCCACACACATTATATTGCCAATACTACCAATAATATTAATAAAACAGCAGTTATAAATTGCCTAAATTGGCCCATAATGTTGCTCACTTATGCTAAGTGTCCCATAATTCCTTGCATTCACAGAAGTAAGTCATAGTGTGAACAAACAGGGAAGCTATCAAAGAGCAGGACAAATTAACATTTTACCATGGTAAAAGAAAAGAGATGTTCTCTCATAGGCCTATAATGGAATATCCCAAAGGAAGGGGACAATACATATGATTTTACTACCGAAGCATAGCCCTAAGTGATGTCTTCATGTTCTTTGGTACTTGGAATACGTGTTCAGAACAAAGAGATAAAAGGTACATCACGATACCAGAAAAACAAGGTACAGAGGTTGGTTAAATCTAGTTGCAGACAATGTACACAGTATTTTTACTTGTAAACAGGTAGGATATACAAATGTGGCTTCCGGAGCATAACTTTAGAAGCACATCCACCATGTGCTGCATGAGACAGCTTCCCAGAATCTGGTATCGTACTGAATCTTTTTTTGTACTATATTATTAGGCTTATACCAGGGGTGGGGATCCTCAGACCCGAGGTTCGGGTGCAGCCTCTGGCTTGCCTGGATCCAGCACCTGAGGCTCCGGGATCCCCCCACATTGGGGAGCCTGTGCTGGTGCTCCAGACCCCATGCCACCCACACACTCAACCACAGGGCCAGAGCACACAAAATCTACAAGCCGCTCTTGTGTGCAAGGGGAATGTGAGTAGTGTCTTTTTCCTTCCCAGTCAGGGGCTTCTCACTTTCCTTTTCACTTGTGTGCAGCCCCTGACTGATTTTTCTGTGACCCCTGACCCAAAAAAGGTTCCCCACTCCTGGCTTATAGCAATGAACCTGATTGATATTAGTTATTTGGTCTCTTGGATACATCTCCTAACCAACCAAAGTACAATCAACTAATCAAGCAATTGCCCATACCATTTATCAAATGGCTGAGTTTTCCTGACAAATTACTTTCTTCCCACTGAACAAGAGAAATCCATTGTGCTTTTCCACAATATATATATAACCAATTCGTAAATATATTGTATATATAATAAATGTATTACATAACATACTTGAAATAATGCTGCAATGTCTTTTTAATATTTGTGAATGCAAGTGAGACTCCTCTTAGCAAAAATGGTCACTTTCCATTTTTTCCAGTGGGGCTAATCCAGACTATTTTCAGGGAAGATAGTGGTCCTTT